TTTTTCAAGACATGCTTGATTCTACAGGCGGTACATTAAAGACTTTTCAAAATTTGCTAAGCCTCTATGCCAATTAATTGAAAAAAGATGTAATTTTTAATTTTGATAAGAACTTTTGAATTATTAAAAGATTATTAAAAGAAAAATTAGTCGCTGCACCAATTGTTGTTTCACCATATTGGAAAAAAAAGTGTGATGCTAGCGATCGAGTTATTGGAGTTGTTTTAGGATAAAAACATTATAAGATTTTCAAAGTAATCTACTACGCTAGTAGAACTCTTAATGAAGCTCAAATTAATTATACCACAACTGAGAAAGATTTATTAGCAGTAGTATATGCTTTTGATAAATTTAGATCATACTTAATTAGAACTAATTATATAGTGCATACAGATCATTCTGCTATTAAGTATTTAATGAAAAAGAATGCTGCAAAACCAAGATTGATAAGATGGGTTCTTCTTTGGCAAGAATTTGAATTTGAAGTAGTAGATAGAAAGGGAGTTGAGAATCAAATTGCTGATCATCTGTCTAAACTTGAATTAGAAAAACCACTCAATTTTGAAAAAAGAAATTAATGAACATTTTCCAAATAAAGAATTGTCAATGTTAGTTAGTGGCATGTTTCATGGTATGCTGACATTGTGAACTTCATTGTTAGTGATATTATACCATATCGAATGACATACTAATAAAAGTGAAAATTTATATTTGAAGATAAGACTTATTTTTGGGATGACCCATTTTTATATAAATAAGGAAAGGTTTTATTATTCGAAGATGTGTGCCTTTAGAGGAAACTTATGAAATTATCCAAAAATGTCATAATTCTGATTTTGAGGGACATTTTGGTATTAATAAAACAACATACAAAATTTTACAATCTGGATTTTATTGGCCTACAATCTTTAAAGATGTTAATGCTTATATCAAAATTTGTGATTGATGTAAACAAGTAGGAAATATTTCTAGGAGGAATGAGATGCCCCTCAATTATGTGTTAGAATTTGAGATATTTGATGTTTGGGATTAGATTTATGAGACCATTTATACCATCTTTCAGAAATTTATATATATTATTAGCAGTAGAATATGTACCTAAATAGATAGAATTTATTGTTTTACCTAAATAGATAGAATTTATTGCTTTACCTCGATGTGATGCTCAAAGTGTTACAAATTTTTTAGAAACAAACATATTTTGTAGATTTGGGATGCCGAGAGTGATCATAGCTGAGGAGAAAGTCATTTCGAAAATGCGATGATGGAGAAATTATTAAAGATATATTATAACAACCATCAAATTGCTACTGCTTATCATATTCAGACAAGTGGTTAGGCTGAATTATCCAATCGAGAAATTAAAAGAATATTGGAAAAATCTATGAATCCAACTAAAAAGGATTTGTGAGTCAAACTTGGCTATGTTTTGTGGGCTTATAGGACTGCATGTATAAATCCTATAGGAAAGTCCCCATACATGCTAATATTTGGGAAAGCTTTTCATTTACCAGTTGAACTTGAGTATGAAACATATTGGGCGCTATTAAAGAATTTAACTATAATATTTAACTATAATTTAAAGGATGCTGGTGAGAAAAAACTATTGCAATTAAATGGGCTTGAAAAGATAATCAATGAATCTTATGAAAGTGCTAAGATTTACAAAAAAAAGATGAAGATGTGGCATGATCGGAGGATTCTCACTAAAAATTTTGAGTTAGGGCAACAAGTTTTGCTATATAATGCAAGGTTAAAATTATTTTCAGGCAAACTTAAGTCCATGCGGGTTGACCCATTTGTTGTGATAACAGTTTATCCCTATGGAGCCGTGGATATCAAAGATCCTAAAACTGATAAAATATTTAAAGTGAATGGTCACAGATTGAAACCTTACTTTTTAGGGAACCAACTTAAATTGAATGATCTTACGTTGTTGGATCAAGCAGAATAAACATGGGTTACACCGGGCTGACGACGTTAAACAAGCGCTTTGTGGGAAGCAACCCATTTATCCGTGTGTTTGTTTTGAATGTTATGTTGTTGTGTTTGATTTAGAAAATATTTGTAGTATTTTGAATATATATTGACTTATTAATGACTATAAGGCCTTAAAAGATGACTTAGACATGTTAGAATGAGTTTTTGAACGTTAAGCTGACCTTTACTAAATTAAACACTGGCGCTTAAGCGCGACAATTTATTGCGTTTAAACGTGGGATCATGGTTTGAGAACGTGTCTAGAGGTTTTATGCTTGATCTAGAGACATACTATAGGAAATAATTACTTTTTGTTCATAATATTTTGAACAAGAAAAGCAAATACATCCAATTATTGGTAACATGGCTTCACAGTCATTCATATATATA